TTTTTATAATTCTAGTAAATCAAGTCATGGCCAGAATAATTATACCCATCCATTAGACAATCTTGCTTGTCCTAAAGAGAGAGAGAGGAAAGAAGTCAATAGGATGCTGTCAAAAGCAAAACCAAAACTTTTAAAGGTGTCATTGTATATACTATATTTAAAATAAGATTTGAAGCCAATAACTATAATTGCTGTAATAATTTAACAGTTGCTTTAGTATAAACTGTCTTTTGTCAACATGCTGTATGCAGATTTTCCATAGGATGACCTAAACATATAAGTTATGGGTCTCAGAAAATTGAATGACATGTAATAATATTTTAATTGTTTTATTCTATTCAAACAAGCTAACAATAACTAAGTCGCTTGGATAGTGAAATGGGTGACATATAAATTTAATAATAAAAATAAATAAACTGTGACTGTCTTAATAATATGAGCTAACATTACTATGATGTAATGTTAAATTGAAAAATGAAAGGAAAATGAAATATGATGTTACAAGCAAGACACTTTAAAAAATTGACCTAATTGTTCATTGGGTCCTTTCATGCTTTCTTATTTGGACTGGGCTGGGGAATCCAATGCTGTAAAAGGACGTGTAGATTTATCTTTCTATTATTGCAAGAACCAAAACCAGAGGTTTAGTCTTCCGAGCTTTCAGATACCTTGGACAGTTCTTTTAGAGGAATTGAAGAGACACACTATTGTAGAAAACTAGATTATTTTATTTTACTCATAGAAAAAACATTAAGAGTTTCACAATCTTGCAGCTGTAGGGCAGCTCACATCTAAATGTCTTATCTCCATCAGAATGGTTCTTGGCAGCTGAAAAAATATTAATGCTTCACATTCTTTCTTTCTGTGATGAAAATAAAATTTACTCCAGTTCTTGAATTGGTCATCTCTCTCTTGAATCCCTCTAAAATGCCTATCCCTGTGCAAGGTGAAAAAAGAAATGAAAATATTTTGGTGGTTATCCATAGACAGAGTAATAGAAAATTAGATAGCAAAGATGGATTGAGAAAAAAAAAAAACGAGAGCAAGGAAATGGAAAAAATAAACTACAGTGTCAAAGAAGGCTAAAGTTTATAATCTTTTGCTTGTAGCTCTAAGGAAAAAATATGTAGAACAAGCAAATGTCTTATTATGCTAGACATAAAGAGCTCAGCAGGTTCAGATGGAATAAGCATAGCAACAAAACTAAAAACAGGTTTAATCCCCTCAAGATGTTTTAAGTATTTTTTTCCCTTGTTTATGAATTTTCAGTTATCCAGGTCATGGTTCTCCCAAAGATACTTTTTCAAAAAGCAACTGGATTTGCTTTGTTTTTGCTTGAAAATGTTTTGCTTCCCATCCAAGAAGCCTTTTCAGTTCTGATTGAATGGTGGAGGATAGAAAAATTTCTATTTCTTGCAGTCATCTGATCATTATCACTTTTTCTGAGAGTTGTTGAGGTCAGGTGTGTGCCCTCAGGATCACTAGAATAGTGATTCCCCCCCCCCCTTCTGTCAGACAGTGAAAATTCCTCTGGATGCCATCAGGTGCTTTAATAAGAAAAATTGCAGAAAATCTAATAAAATCTTGATTATTCTCACAGCTCATCCTTCTCAATATAGATAACATTCTATGTTCTTTCACTGTCTTAATGTTGTCTGAAAGGGACAGAATATGGAGCACTTTCTTTTCATCCCTATCCATCAAATATTTTAGTGGCTTACATTCTTTTTGCAATGGATCATTTTTCAGTGCAAATCTGAAGAACTTCATAAGTGACTGGGATATATTAACTGCTTTAAAATGAAAACACACAAAATATTATCTATCATCTGTCTGTCTGTCTGTCTGTCTGTCTGTCTGTCTGTCTACTGACGTAGTTACTTATTTACTCACTTATAGGTAGTCCTTGACTTAGGACCAAAATTGAGCCCACAATTTGTGCTGCTAAGCAAGACAGCTGTTAAGTGAGTTTTGTCACATTTTACGAGTTGTCTTGCCACAGTTGTTAGGTGAATCACTGCACTTTTTAAGTTAGTAACACTAAATCAGTAACACCAACTTAGCAGCAGTTGTTAAGTTGTTAATCTGGCTTTCCCATTGACGTTGCTTGTCAGAAGGTTGAAAAAGGTGATCATATGATCCCAGGACACTGCAACCATCATAAATACATGCCAGCTGCCAAGCATCTGAATTTTGAACATGTGACCACGGGGATGCTGCAACAGTTGCAAGTGTGAAAAATGGTCATAAGTCACATTTTTCAGTGCTGCTGTAACTTCAAAGGGTCATTAAATGAATGGTTGCAAGTCAAGGACTACCTGCACTTACTGTGTAAGATTTGTGTAGCTGCCCATCTTAAAAAACTACTCTGGATGGTTCACAACAAGAATAAAAACTGAACTATAGAAACTCTAAGCATATGTCTGTATGTTGCAGAACTAATAGTATCTCCACAACATTCAAAGTCCTGTTTTTAACCTATAAGGCCCCAAATGGCTTCACTCGTAGATACCATTAGGATCAACTCATGAGAGGATCAACATCATGAAAGAAGTTAGTGGGAGCCCCTCATTGTCAAAGAGGGTACCTCGGGAGGGTACACGAGCCTGGCTCCAGGGAATTATAAACGCTTCTTTACGGGAGGGTGTCTTCCCCGCGATCCTAAAGGAGGCGGTGGTGAGACCCCTCCTGAAGAAGCCTTCCCTGGATCCAGATGTATTGGCTAACTATCGCCCAGTCTCCAACCTTCGCTTTGTGGCGAAGGTTGTTGAGAGTGTGGTTGCACA